GTGCCTTTGGAGAAGACGTTTATGCTTTGGATAGTTTGCAGCAAAAGTACCAGTGTCAATGGCGCAAAGGCTGATGGCGCAAAGGCTGTTGGCTGACGAAGGACAAGGCTGATCATGACATTGTCTGTGCTGGTGAACGTGAAGTTCTTCGATCAAAAGCTGCCCGCAAAATCTCAGAACACTGGGATAGTGGTTTGCTGATCAACATGCAAATTGGGCCATGGGATTGGATGCGTGGTGTACAAACAGTGCTGCAGGAGACAAGACCTGTCAATCATCCAATACCGCGTCTTCATGTTTCTCCCCATGGAGTTGAAGTAGACCTTGATAAACAAGCAGTACGCAAGTATGCCAAAAGAACACCCAGAAGAGGATGAAAATGAAGAAAACTTGGTGCGTCAGAGCCAGGCGGGGCACAACAACAAGTTCAACAACCTCCACAAGAACTTCAAGCCGTTGGTGAACAACTACTACAAATATTTGATGCTGATTGCGCCTGGATAACAAGTTGGTGCGTGATTGGCCAAGGAGCTTGGTTTCGAAGAGGAAGAATGGTTGCCAGGGAGTTCAGAGGTCGTAGTGCTTCAACTGAAGAAACCTTTTCTTCCACAACACCGCTGATGATGGTGAAAGTCTTGATGGTGATCAGTCTGGTCAAAGGTTTGCTCATGTCAACTTTGGATGTCAGCGATGTTTTTTTTTCAAGTCATGCAACGTGAAGATGTTGTTGTATCAGTACCCAACTGGGTGAAGGTGGCAGGTGGAGATCTCAACCTGATGTTCTGGCAGTTGCAGAAATGTTTGCCCGGGCAACGCAATGCTGCGACGCGTCGGAACGAACACCTCACAAGCCTTCTTGGTGAACTCAACTTGGAGCACATGCAAGGTACTCTCTTCAGACATCGTGAAAGGGATATTTTCCTTTCAGCCCACATCGAGGACCTGTTGCTGATTGCCAATGAGGTGGACACAAAGGAAATGTTCGAGAAACTGTCAAGACAACTGACTTTGAAGATTCATGGTCCTTACGGCGTCAATGAACCAGGCAAGCTGTTTTATTTGAAAAGACAAATTGAAAGAAATGGGAGAAAATGTAATTTTCATTGCGCCGAATGGCAAGTACATCCTGAAGTTGGCAGAACTTTTGGAGATCAGAGAGGCAGGGGAAAGCTGTTCACCACCAGAGATCATTCCCACGGCGGAGTATTTTTGATGGACAAGGAGGCAAAGATCTTCCGCTCAGCCTTGGGAATTTGGTTAAACATTGCCCAGGAGAGATTGGATATCCAACAGGCTGTCAAGCTGCATGGGGCGACCAAATAAGACTGCTCTTTGTGCACTTCGGACACTTGGTAGTTACCTGATCCAGACTCAGGACATGCAGACGCACTACCCGAGAGCAGAAACTTTCTCAACAACTTTGACAAGATAGAATGGAGTTGAAGAGCGACGTGATGGAAAACCCTATGACCTATGAATTGGAACCTTTACAGCGACAGCAATTGGGCAAACTGCAAATTTACCCGAAGGTCAAGAAGCTCTGGTTTGATTTTTCTCAATGGATGTTGCGTCCACAGCCATAGCCGCGCTAAGCCTCAATTTCACTTTCATCGATGGAAACCGAAATCCTTGCGGCTACAATTTTTTTCGTTGAAGGCACCTTGGTGAAACAATTTCTTCAGTTTTTGCTTGGTGGTGAAGGTGGATTGGAAAATAACCAGCAAGTTCAGATGAGACTTTGGCTGGATAGCGCAAGTGCTCAAACCTTTTTCAACAGGCTGGGTCCTGGTCGTGCCAAACACCTCAAGCAATGAGAAAGAAATGGTTTCTTGTGGAAAGGGTAAGTACGCGTGAAAACCCTTCAAGCCTCAACACAAAACTTCCTTCCCGTGAACGACGAGAGTTCCTGATGAAAAAGATCGGTTTGGTAAGTGGAAATTTCAACATTGAGGAGAACAACAGTGGTGACCGCAACAACAAGGTGAAAGCCGTGGTTCGAGCAATCACTCCGGTGCTGATGGCAATTAACCTTCAAGGATGTGGTGCTACATCATGGACAAGTTTTACGATGGCGAATTCTTGGCGATGGTCAACGACTACATGGTGGATATTGACAACATTGATGCTCATTGCGGTGATTCTTTACCCCATGGACAAGGTCAGAAAGGTGAACTTTGAGATGGAGAAGTACAAAGCAGTGTGCAAATCGATCAGGGAAGCCGTGAACCTGCGCAATCGTGCAGATCCAGAAGAGCAAATTCTTCAAGACGCAAGTCAAAATCCTTTTAGTGGAGTTTGGTTGAATCACGAGGATGGTGAAGAAAAAACCCGAATTTCAGATGCAGAAGTGTATGATAGACGAGAGATTGAAGAGAGCATTGAGCGCCTGAACAACACGTTGGACGCATTTGACGAGATGGATCGAGAAGCAACGCCGAGACCGAGGTTAAGGCAAATCCCAAATGGAGTACATGGTGCTTGCGAAGGAGATGGTTCAGGTGATGCTGATGTTGAAGGTGAAGATGGTGAAACCATGTGGAACCACCGGAAGTGTTCCGACTGGAGCCAGTATTCCGTTGATCGAGGACGGAATCACAGTTCTTGTTGATGCATTTGCTGAAATCGCAGATGCGGCTGAAGGACATGCTCATGGAGAACTTTCAGAAGATGATGAAGTTTGGATGGAAGAGGAAGAATCTACGAGATCGAGGTGGCGCCGATATGTGCAGTCGGGCCAGGATCAAGTTTCCGATCGTGATGAGTGGGCAGATATCCATTATGGACCTGCTACATCAAGGACTACACCGAGGAGACCAAGATACTGCAAGATCTACACCAAGTACGCCTATGCCAGCCGAGAGCTATGCCAAAAGTTCTTGCAGATCGCCGTGATCAACGTCTAGCTGGTGAGCGTGGAAAAGCAGTGGTTCGACATGCAAAATCAGAACAAGAAAGGCGAGGAGACAGACAAGCTGGTGGCAAAAGAGGCTCGAAAGGAAATGCAAGTTCGAGCACACTGACCACATCAGTTAGCATAGGTGACAATGAAAACTACTTCGCGGACTCCTACTCCATTGCCCAGTACTTCGACATGGGCATGGTACCGCGAAATGAAGCAGTTTTGGATGATTATGGTTGGGATTTGATCATGCAAGGAATGGGGCCAGAAACGATATTGGTCCACAACTGCAGGGAATTCAATCAAATCATTTCAGAATGCAATGATCCTTTGGAACGTTTGGCGATGCAACGACTCTTACGTCATCTACATGGTTTGATGGTGATGTTTCAATCAAAAGATCCACTTCAATGGATTGATGCGGCATTTCAATTGAAAAATTGGTTTCAAGCAGACCGCGATTGGAGTTTCTTCAATGAAGAATCAACACATGATGGATCAGAAAAACATGAAGAAGGAGAAGAAGAGGACCATGACGACAGAGAAGATGCAGTGGATCCTCAAGATGTACCTCGCGGAGATCGAGAAGACCCAGGAGGTACAGATCCTGGCCGTGAGGGTGAGACAACAACTCGTGGATCATTTTGAGATGCAGGTACAAAGATACCTATAGAAGTAACTGGAAGGACAAACATGTGACCTGCGGTATCTAGGAAAACAAGTGCTGCAAAGAATGATGCCTACCTAATGCAGAAGGCATCAAGGCGGGGTGTGAACTTTCAGCTGATCCCCGTGCAGCCAAGGAAACCAACATCGAAGATGCTGGTTAGAATGCGAACGTGTTGTTCTTTTTTGCATGCACATTGATGAGACTTGGGGCCTTGAACTTGGCTATGTGGTTTTTCCAATTTGGCAAGAAAATGGTGATCCGTCTGAAGTACATGATGGGGAAAAAAAATGAAGAAATCACAGAAAGTGAAGAAAAACGACAGTAGAGAGAACTCAGTGCAAAGGAAGATCAACTCAATGAGCTGATGCGTGAGAACATGCGGTTGAATGAAATGATTGAGAGTATGGAGACAAACTGCAGCACGTTCATCAGTGAGAGACAAGGAATCGTGCAGGTAGAAGTAGACATGTACAAAGATGAACTCATGGGAAACCTTCAAGAGAAGCTCATCCAAAAATTAGGAGAAATGGTGCTGCGTATCAACAAAGCTGGTGAGGCATATCATATAGCAGAGTGTCACCATCTTAGAGGACATTTTTTATCCTTGAAACGCTATAGATCCTGTAGAGAATGCTATGGTCGAGCTGTGAGGGCCGTGATAAGATTTGTGGAGACACGTCAGCACAGACAGCTCGTCAAGCATGGCGAGATCTGCGCAAGGATGACAGTACAAATCAATTCACATTTGCCGACGATTGCAGGCCCAACTTGGAGTGAAAGAAACCGAACCCGTTTCTTTTCAGTGAGTGTATTGAATCATGGCTGCCGGTGCAAAGTGCAAAGCTGGAGGATGGGGTTGAGGGGAGGTGGAAACTGGGCGATTTTGTTGTATTGAGTGTCCCAATTATGTGAATTTGGATTAAGGTTGGGGTGGTCTTGCTTCCTTGAACATTTTCCAGAGAGCATGCAGCGTTTTTATTGGCCTGTTCCAAGGATTGGAATGTGCATAAACTATTCAATATCCCAATTTGATCCAATTTGAAGGAGCAGACATTTCGATGTTGGCTGCAACCCTGACATTCCCCCACCTGTCTTGGAGACCACTGTCATCCTTCATAAAGATACCATTTTTCCATGTGTTCATGAAAGTTTGAACTGGGGCGAAAATGTTCTATTTGATTCTATCTCGAAAGGTGACGCTAAGCTGCATAAGCAAGTATTGGCTGGTTCCTGTCCAAGTGCTTGCTTTTTGGCCATTTAGTCTCAATTCAGTTTTTTTTTGGCCGTTCGATGAACTGCTCCGTGTGATGCCACCAAGCGCGGAGGACGCGTGAATGAATTTCTTTTATTGTCAACATCGTCGTTGTCTCAAGATGATGTTATGTAAACATGATGGTCTTGTCATAAGCAGAAAATCAGAGATCCCCTGTGATTTCAGCCAATGCCATGTCGGCCGATGTGACTGTTCTTGGTGCGGGCGTGAAAGGTGACGAGGCGTGATGAATTTGGAAATGATGGGAAATGTTTGCGAAATATTGGAATATAATGAAGGGGCGCGTCAGAAATGTGACCTGAAGATACCTGAAGGAAAATTGCATATTTGGAGCTCTTCAGACAAGCAAAATGACGATGTGTTAGGCGAAGCATTGAACAATTTCCAGACCATGACCCTGCATCGTTTGATTGATCCAGAGACTGTGGAAAGCAGAAAAGTGTAAAACCAGAACTCTTGGCGTTTTTCCTTCTCCTGGGAAGAAATCTAAAGTCTAAAGTTTATGTTTTGGATCATTGCTCCTGAAGTTCAAATTCCCTTTCAAGGAGGCGCCTGTGGAGCTTGAGGGTGGAAGTTTGCTCGAGGATGGTGGGGTGAAGCAGGAAGCGCATTTTCAGCCCAGCTTTTGTCAAGCAGTTCTTGCTTGGCGCTTTTCGCTGCTGCTCCTTTGCAACTGCCTGCTGTTTTCTTCTGTTTTGGGTGTTTATTCGCGGACGTTTGAGGTCTTGAGCTCGAAAGTCTCTCGCAGCCAGCAGCCTGTTCCCCTGACTTCAGATGTCAACGCCATGGCTGCCATATCTCACACAACAGCAGCCCCTGAGTCGAGGCCTGCCATATCTCACTCAACCCCATCCCCTGTGCTGAGCACTGCCATATCTCACCCAACTTTACCCCCTGAGTCGAGGCCTGCCATATCTCACTCAACGGCGCACATGATAGCAGCCGGACGGCAGGATCCATCCAGCATTCCCAATGCGACTCTGAACACCACGCCCTGGGTGGTCCATCGATTTGCGAAAGCCGGAGTTTCGCCCCATATGTGCCTCCAGTGCCTTATGGTTGGACGCTTGTTCATGCCAGTCTTGGAACTGCAGGTGGAGTACGCCAGACGCCACGGCTACGATCTCTACACCTATACTGATGAATCGGAGCAACCGGATAAATCACATGCAATTCATTTTTGGAAGATGAGATCAACACAATATTTGATAGAGAGTGGCACGACTGGGTGCGACTACATTTTTTGGATGGATTCAGATGCCATTATCATGAACATGTCCTTTTCTCTGGAAAGTCTCATCCATTGGGACGGAATGGAAGACACTGACATTGTGTTGGCGGCGGATACGCTGGCCGCGAATCTGGCTCAAAGCCTTTGGAAGTTCAACCGATTCACGCACCAGATTTTGGAAGATTCATGGAACATGGGCAGTTCTGCTCCTTTGGTAGAGACGGGGGCCTTTAATGCAATCCTCGGAGGATGCCAGCCAGAAAGCAGTCCAGAAGAAAAGCGTGCTTGCTACAAGAAGGTGGACCGCTGGAAAGACCGCGCATTTGCGGAGGAATATTTCTATCCAGGAAACAATGCCAAAATCAAAGAAGTGGTGGTGAACAAGAGCTTGCTGCCCCACATAAAGTGGGTTCCCAAACGTGCTATCAATTCCTATCCGTTTGGTTACTATGGAGGTCAACACCGCTGGGGCGATCCAGACTTTATAGTGCATTGTCCCAGCGCTAGAGGGAAGACCGAAGCTTGGTGGGTTTGGATTCAACACTTTTTATATGTATTTGCGGGGCGAACTGGAAGAGACTCCTTACTGACTTCATCATGAATACGATTGATGTCCAGGCAAAATCATTATTAACCGGTCAGTCCCTAGCTTAGGCCTACGTTTTGGCTCGCTTAGGCCTACGTTTGTGATATATGACTACAGTATCAATAGAAACATATATAGATGAATTTGAACATGAATTCAACAGGCTTGTACATGTGTGACAGAGATGATCATCAGGACATTTTCATTCAATCATATGAATAAGAAGATGTTACAACGTATCAGGACTGTATTTCAAGTGCCTTGACGGAGAGTTGAGAACGTATCGGGAACATTTTGCAAGTTACTTGAGGAATAGAATACAACGTATTAGGAACGTCTTGCATGTTACTGGACGAAGATGTTACAACATACCAGGAAAATCATTCAAGGTTCTTGAGGGAGCTGTGACAACGTGCCAGGAACGTCTTGCAAGTTTCTGGCAGAAGATTTCACAACGTATCAGGAACGTGTTGCAAGTCACTAGAAGAAGATGTTACAACGTATCAGGAACATTTGGCAAGTTACTTGAAGAAAAGTTTACGACGTATCAGCAAGGTCGTGCGAGTTACTTACAAGTAGGAAGATGTTGCAAGTATCAGGAACGTCTTGCATGTTACTTGACGAAGATGCTACAACATATAAGGAACATCATTCAAGTTACTTGAAGAAGCTGTGACAACGTGCCAGGAACGTCTTGCAAGTTTCTTGCAGAAGATTTCACAACGTATCAGGAACGTGTTGCAAGTCACTAGAAGAAGATGTTACAACGCATCAGGAGCATCTTGCAAGTTACTTGAAGAAAAGTTTACGACGTGTCAGCAAGGTCGTGCGAGTTACTTACAAGTAGGAAGATGTTGCAAGTATCAGGAACGTCTTGCATGTTACGTGACGAAGTTGTTACAACATATAAGGAACATCGTTCAAGTTACTTGAAGAAGATGTAACAACGTGCCAGGAACGATCAGGAACGTCTTGCAAGTTACTCCAAACGCATTCCATGTCCCACCCCAAGTGTCTCCAAGTGTTCCCTAAACCCACCCCAAGTGTCCCCAAGTGTCCCCAAGTGTCCCCAAGTGTCCCCAAGTGTCCCCTAAACCCACCCCAAGTGTCCCCAAGTAACCTAAAGGTCTGTATCCCATGGAGTTGGTTCCCCAAACCCACCCCATGTCCCACCCCAAGTCCCACCCCAAGTCCCCTAAACCCACCCCAAGTGTCCCCAAGTGTCCCCAAGTGTCCCCTAAACCCACCCCAAGTGTCCCCAAGTGTTAACCTAAAGGTCTGTATCCCATGAATTTGGTTCCCCAAACGCACCCCATGTCCCCCTAAACCCACCCCAAGTGTTTTCAAGTGTCCCCCAGTGTCCCCCAGTGTCCCCAAGTGCCCCACCCCAAGTGTTAACCTAAAGGTCTGTATCCCATGGAGTTGGTTCCCCAAACGCACCCCATGTCCCACCACAAGTGTCTCCAAGTGTCCCCTAAACCCACCCCAAGTGTCCCCAAGTGTCCCCAAGTGTCCCCAAGTGTCCCCTAAACCCACCCCAAGTGTCCCCAAGTGTTAACCTAAAGGTCTGTATCCCATGAATTTGGCTCCCCAAACCCACCCCATGTCCCACCCCAAGTGTCCCCAAGTGTCCCCTAAACCCACCCCAAGTGTCCCCAAGTGTACCCAAGTGTCCCCTAAACCCACCCCAAGTGTCCCCAAGTGTTAATCTAAAGGCCTGTATCCCATGGAGTTGGTTCCCCAAACCCACAATTTGATTCTGTCTGCATTTTAAAGTTGAGAATGGTACTGCAACAAATAGGCCCAGGGTTTTCCAGTCGATGCAGTGCTTGGTCATGTAACATGCCCATGTCATGTCTCGCACATGCTTCAGTTGGTCACTCGGACATTCTTTTAATGGTGGGAAACTGTGCTCAATCTGAAAATCTCGGCTGGGACCTGTATGATTGTCAGCCGAAGGTCTCCAAACTGAATCCCTTTTTTTTTATGGGCCTTCCATCAATCAGTTGAAAAGACAAACCGCTACTCTAGAAAATGAACAGGACTTCCATTTTTGATGGTAAAAAAATCATGGGTCAAACAAACCAGTCTATGAGATACCCTATCTAAATTGTAGCGTTGGGCAGCTTCATCTATCTATTTGAGATTCCTTCCACCATGTCCCACCCCAAGTGTCTCCAAGTGTCCCCTAAACCCACCCCAAGTGTCCCCAAGTGTCCCAAGTGTCCCCTAAACCCAGCCGAAGTGTCCCCAAGTAACCTAAAGGTCTGTATCCCATGAATTTGGTTCCCCAAACCCACCCCATGTCCCACCCCAAGTGTCCCCAAGTGTCCCCTAAACCCACCCCAAGTGTCCCCAAGTGTCCCCAAGTGTTAACCTAAAGGTCTGTACCCCAGTTCCCCACAACCACCCCATGTCCCACCCCAAGTGTCCCCTAAACCCACCCCAAGTGTCCCCAAGTGTCCCCCAGTGTCCCCAAGTGTCCCCTAAACTCACCCCAAGTGTCCCCAAGTGTTAACCTAAAGGTCTGTATCCCATGGAGTTGGTTCCCCAAACCCACCCCATGTCCCACCCCAAGTCCCACCCCAAGTGTCTCCAAGTGTCCCCTAAACCCACCCCAAGTGTCCCCAAGTGTCCCCAAGTGTCCCCAAGTGTCCCCTAAACCCACCCCAAGTGTCCCCAAGTGTTATATAACCTAAAGGTCTGTATCCCATGGTGTTAACCCTGAAGTCAACATAAAAAATGTCGTCCTAAGTGAGCCAAAAAGTCGTCCTAAGTGAGCCTTGGACCTTTATTAACCTGTCTATTGTTTTGTTTCGTTCTTCAGCTGGCCCTTCCTTATTTCATGTAATTTGTTGGTTTCCATCTTTGATCCAACCCGGGAAAGAATTTGGACGCGAGCAAAGGCAGTTTCAACATGTTTCAACCACTTTAAACATCTTTTAACATTCCATCGACTTTAGTTGGCGTGATTTCTTGCCCATTTTTGTTGAAATTCATCTCCCCCAATTTTCCTGCATCCCAGCCACCCGTGCCAAGATTTTTTTACCCCAGTACATCGAGCGGGGCCTGATAAATGCCGGGCTGCGCCCTGATCCAGCGGCAGACGCCCGCAGAGATCCCAGTGGTGTGCCCAACGCCACCAGCAGTACCAGGCCCTGGGTCATTCACCGATTTGCCCGGCCAGGGGTGTCGCCCCATATCTGTTTGCAGCTTGGTGCCATCAAAAAATGCGAATTTTGATTTACTTTGTTTCAGTTTTCCCAAGATCCAGCGAAATTGCCGTTTTTTTCAATTGTTTCGGGCCCAAGAAGCTTAATTCAAGGCAGTCACGATGGGTTGAACGGCATCGTCGGCGGCATAACAACGACAACGAGATGAAAATGCAGGAGCTAAGAATTCACTATGCCAAACTTCATGGCTATGACCTCTACAGTTTGGGATCCGAGCCAACAAGGCCCAGGCTCACCCGAAGGGAGTCGACCCAATTGTTGATTGACAAGACGGACTGTGACTACATCTTCTGGTTGAGCGTCGATGCAGTCATCGTGGACATCAACTTCGAAATTGAGAGCTTGATCAAGTGGCAAGGTGCCAGCGACACAGATCTCGTAGTGGCCGGGAATTATGCTGTAGTGAATTTGGTCACAGCACTCTGGAAATCCAGCAGCTTTAACCGCCTCCTGTTGCAAGACTTGCTGGAAATTATGCCGGTCAATGAAGGCCGATCAGCCACTGCATCCATGAGCGCCTTGCTGGGTGGATGTGGGGCCACAAGCAGCGAAGATGAGAAGGATATTTGTCGGGCCAAAGTTACTCAGGAGGAAGGGTCACATAAGCCCGCCGTCTTGCCTGTTATGGAGGCCATTCGGAATGGAGATGGTGTGGCTTTAGGAGAGCTGGTGGTGAACAAAAGCTTATTGCCTCACATGAAGTGGGTTCCGAAGCGGATCATTGGTGCGCGCCCAGATGAACTCTTTGTTGGGAATTTCGATTACAATGAGAGAGTTCGAGGAGTTTTCCTGGTATATTGTGGTGGAATCATAGGAGGCAGATTCATCCCCAAATTCTTGCCGTCAGCACAGAAGAATGCGGGCCTAAAGCTCTGAGACTTGTCTGGCCGTCGAATTTGATCCCACGTCGCTGATCCAAAGATGATCTCGCAGCATGCCTTGAAGTCAAACGCCCTGTGCTTCAGCACCAAAACCAGGAGCCTTGCCAGCTTGCTCCGAGTCTCCATCAAGTAGAAGGTTGCAATTGCGACATATGTAACATAAGATTGAAAATATGGAAATTTAAAATGTGGCAGTTTGGTATCAGACAATCTCAGGATTGGGTAAAACTGGCACATATCCATATCAGCTGCAGCTGGGATCCTTGAGGTACCTTAAAAAGATTCGGTAATGATACTCCAATATACTCCAATAATAATAATCACAATAATAATAATAAGAATAATAATAATGCTTTGACAAACATTCTTTCTCATCGCGGTTGGCTGAAATTTTCCGTTGTCGCAAAAGGGATTGAAAATCAGGTCTGTTCCACGGGTTGTCAGCACGGTGACGTTGACAAAGTTGGCCATTGATGTTGTGAACCGAAGGTCGCAATGATGCCTCCAAGACAATCTTCCATGTTGACGGGCCATCGGCTTGAGAGCATATTTGATAGACGCGTATGGTACTCTGGGAACAGGCCCACCATTATCTATTTTGTTCAGTTCTGGAGCGATTTTGTTTTGTTGGTTTGCGCAGTGTGTACAGTAAATCAGTTTTGGGAACTCTTGAAGTTTGCTGGAGCGAAACTGGCAAACGCTGAGTTTCCACGCCAGACTGCTTGATTGTCTCAAACCCTCATATGCCCATGCTTTCTCATTTTTTTGTGGTCAACAGTTTGTACTCCTTGGCATGGCACCAGTCACAGGGCGCTTCATGGCCCAACTCCGTCGCAACCGTGGCTCTATGGATCTCTATGGGAGCTATGCGCTGTGCCCAGCGGAGTCCCACAGCAAAAAACATAACACAACTGAAGTGAAAAATGATGCCGCCATTGCCGGGCAACATTGCAACTGCACAATAAAACCATGCAATTTATTTTCGGGGTAATCTTCCACGTCATCATCAATGTCCAGCCTTAATGCCTGAGTTCCATTGAATCCCACCTTGGGTTTTCCCGCTCTGAAACGTATTGAAACTTGAACCCACCAACTATTTAGCCTTGGTAGTGCAACCGTTTGCTATGAACAAGTGCTTATTTACAGATGATCCACCTCCTATTCTACCGGTGATCTTCCACTTCGCAAGCGGTTGAAGTACCCAGAGGGCAATACTGAGAGGTTTCAGCATCGACTGCACTTCACTAGGGGTCATCATTGGTCATCAAACATGTCCACCATGTTGGGGTTGATTCGGCCAACAGCGCGGCACTCGGATCTCCGTGTTGCAGAGACAAGGGCAAAAATAGAATCCCACCAAGTGATCTATATCATCGTCATCCCAAAAAAATAAACATAGAAAATCCACACCAAAATCGTGAAGATTCACTTTCATCATTTTTTTGTTTGCGGGTTCGGTTATTACATGTTATTACTATATGCCCTGGGCTGAGGTGGTGGTGGAGCTTGACCCCTCGCACAGCGCGGTCAAGGACGCCGCGGTGCGCGTGGAAGGAGTCCGGGGGCCCGGTGGAGCATGGGTGGCACGGCCCGGGAGCCTGGTGGAGCTGAGGTCCTGCTGGTGAAGTTCAGCTCCAAAAGAAGGAGAAAATATGGCAAAACCATTGGTTGGTTTTTGCAATGTTTTGCTGGATGAAAATATGAACCAAATTGATCCACATGATTCTGCATGTCTGGCGATGATGTTTCCTAAAAAGGATGGATGGGACATTATTTTATTTCAGTTGCCCCGAAGTAGTGAGCTGGCACATCGAACCAGCGAGAGTTGAGGATGTGGCCTGTCACTTTCCACATTGGACATTGGATTTCGCAATTTTGGGGCATCTCAAATTTCTGGACGCACAGCTCAGCAGGCGCGCAGAACATCCGTTTTGGATTCCCAAAGACACCTCGAGGGTGAATTCCTGTGGTTTTTCGGTGGGAATCATCTAAGGCATGTTGAATATTATGAATATTTCAGCATCACTTGATTGATAGATACTTCAGGCAAAAAAAAAATCGAAGGTGATGGCTGCATCCAATGCTCCAGCTGGCTATAATTAGCTGGGTAAAGTATGGTGACCTGACGTCGTGACTTCACTGGAATCATGATAATCATGGCTAGCAAGGGAAAGTATCCCACTATATCCGTATTTCAGGCGGGTGAATTTTTGCCCAGATACATCTTTTTTCCGCTGGATCTTTCGAAAGTGCGAAGAAACAGCTGGCAATCACACCTTTTTGCTTGGACCTCAGGGGCAAAATACAATTCAAGGCTTATGCAAAACTGTAAAGACCAACGCAAGACTCCGCACAGAAGGGCTTTTGAGACCCAACCTTTTCAAATGGAACTACGCTTTGGAAAACGTGTCAAAGTGCAATGGCGGTGAGGAAAGTTGTGGCAGCATGGTGATTTGAAACTCCACCACGCTGAGGAGGAGTGTGAAAGTTTTCTGATAGCACTCCACCGTTGGAACACAGTTGCATGGCCACTGGACAAGGATGACACGCGGTTCAACCGAGACGTTTGCATTTTCACTGAGTCACATGTGAAATCCACATGTATGCATTCAGGACTGTAGCTCCTTGGAATTGTTGTAGCGTATTGGGTTTCCAAAGTGGGCATTATGGTTACCCGGAGTTGCTCACTTTGCCGGGCATCCAAACCAAAGAAAGGTAGTTGCCCAAAATAGGCTGTCAAGTCCTGGAGCGGTAAACATCCTCGAAGCTTCTGTGCCTGGCTATTGTTGCACTGCTCATGTTGTTTCTTTCTCCTCGGTTATTTGCCAGCATTCTGAAGGAATCTGCAATCATCCGAAAAACTCTGAGTTGGGCCTCGGGATCTCTCATGCCTTGATTGTGCGCATGGTCCGGCAACATCAAAATGGCTCCTTGGATTTCATCTGCATCCGACCAGTTCTCTTCAGCCCATGCCACGTTGAGCTGAAGGCGCAAGTCATCCACAGATGCTTCGATTTCTCCCTGTCGAGTGGTGAGGTCTCGCTCAGGGTTCAACAGGTGATCTTCTGTCCTTTCAAACTCTGATTCACCACCTTCTCCATAAACCACTCCACTCCAAGCTCCATTGGTATTGATTGAAGATGCTGTTGCTGTTGCTGCTGGTGGGTCAGTATCACCACCAGCCCATGCAAAACCCCTGATTGCACTCATATACTGGGCATGTCCCACAGAATTCATGGCTACACGGTTGCCTTGCTCAACAGTAAACATATGGCGTCGCTGAACAGGAGTAAGTTCGCGATGCTGGGCAAATCCTCCAATTTCAACCAGACCGTAATGGATTCCATCAACTGAATCTGCCAGCATTTCCATGTGACTTGAAGTCTCAGTCACCTGTCCCACTGAACGTTGAACTTCTGGAATCGCCACCATATGTTCACCAAGAGTTGTATGGGTGCAACCTGTAGTGGAAGATGGCCTGCATCAGCTTCAATTGCTCGAATGCGTATGATGCCTATCCAAACTGCTCCTGCAAGCGAGAGGGTCATGGCTGTGCACCACACAAACAAAATCACGTAGACCAACCTTGAGTGATCATCATCATGAACTTCGTGTGCACAAGTGCCAGCTGAAACATCAATTGCGCATTCATCAACAGTAGAACCCATAGCGCCAGTGGTAGGCTCAAGGCCCATGAGAAGTGCAAGACGTGCAATTGTTCTGGCTGCTTGCATCATTTGTTGATTCAAGTTTCGGCCATCTCCACCTCGACGTTCTTCAGCTTGAATTGAGTTGGCACCATCATCGTCAAAGATGCCAATGTCCCTGAGAAGAGTCTTCAGGCGTTTTGCAGGCAACACCTGAGTGCCGATATCAGCAACATTGAAGGCTGTGCTGATTTGGCTCAGGGCAATTTCCCCATTCCGAACTTGATCTTGTATCCACAATATTTTGGCACTCAAGTGCTTCACCTTCCCTGTGCCCTGGCGTGAGCACAGTTGGCGTGCGCTGGAAGAGTCAGTCAGGAGAATGTGCTCAACATTGCCTTTGATCACAAACTCAGCGCCACGCTTGATGAAGATGCCGTCACAGGGTTGAAACCATTCCATGCAACTCAGCTTCGCAGCTTGAGAGAGAAATGGTCCTCTGAGTGCGTGAACTTGAGTACACAAGGTTGCCACAGAACATATGAAGACCTGATGAAGTGGAGCGTTGATGTCGTTTGTCGCTGCTCCAGTCGCTGTCTGAAAATGATTCCAACAGCCAATAATTGTCATTGGTTTGTTTGTGCAAACCTTGTCCTCCATGAGGTTGTTGAAGCACAACTGCATAGTGGCTGGTTTCCTCCAAATAGGAAACAAGCTTCTTGAGATGCCGCATCGCTGAAACTGTGGGGTTGCTCATGTAGCTAGAAAGTTCCTTCACCGTGAAATCAACACCTGGTCGATCATGGGTGATGTACAAGCATGTGCCCACAGCCATTCTGAAAAAGGTCACATCACTACCAACCAAGCAAGGAGAGTTGTCCTCCATCTGGATTCCAGGATCGGCGGGAGTTGTGGAAGAGCGCAGCTTGCCAAACTTTTCTTTCCAAACTTTGATCAATTTCCCAATGCTGCTGCCTGGGAGTAAAGCCAGGCCGTCCTCCACACGCAAGATCCTTCTTTTCAGACAAGAAATTTCTGTTCCAACGCCTTCCGAAACAGAGCAACTGATTGTAAAACGCTGTTGAAGTTTCTCCTTGAACTCATTCCAAAACTTGAGGCTGCCAACGCACATGATGTCGTCCACATGGATGAGAATGGCACACTCTTGGGTACGTGCCAAACATGGCTGCACACTGCAGAATTCAAACTGCATAGCCTCATCCAAAAACGCACACAAATAACAGTACCACGCACGAGCTCCAAGTCGTTGTCCTGGAAGATTCTTGATGCTAAAAGAAGTATGTTGTGGCACTTCCAAGGACGCATCCTTGATGTCCAAGGCTGCCATCACCTGATTACTGCATGAAACTCCTCCTGAACATCATTCAAATTATCACATCGTTGAAGCCAAAGCAAAGGTAGCAGGTTCAATACATGAGTG